CATTAACGTCTGGATGAGACAGCGCCGATTTTAGCGTCGGCTAGCGTCGATTGGCGTCGATCTAGCATTTCGTAGCGTTGATTTAGCGTCGACCAGCGTCGATTCGCAAGGGCCGACAAGATTGTATGGGAGGCTCCCAGGAGTTGCCACCGCCCTTTTCGTGGCGCAAGGTCGGCTCAAAATCGGTCCTCGGACCCCTCCCAGTGTCTATCCCGAATGGAAAATGGGGGGAAGACGAACGCCCAGAATATGTACGGGAAAGTCTGGGGAATCCTGGGATTTGTGTCTATTTATTGGTGTGCCCCTGGGCCCCTTGCATGTGTCTTCGTGGCGGAAAGGCGGCTCAGCATCGGTCCTCGGGCCCCTCCCTGGGTCTCTCTGGAGGCGCCGTGTCGGAGTCGCACGTCCTGCCGCGTCGACGAGGCGCCTCCGCGAACTTCCCCCCCACCCCCCGCCAGAGTTCGTCTCGAGCTCGACGCTCCAGCCGTGAGTCGGGCATGTCCCTCTGTAGGAGAAATGTTCAAAAATGGTAAAAGAAATAGTGCGGGACGGCTTTTCATTATGTTTGATTATTCTTGTGGATATGCTTTTACAATTTTTGAGTTTTCGCCCCAAATCCGGCTATAGGAGGGGGACATGCCCGACCTAACTCTAGCCTCTCGAGCCCCCTCCCCTCCAAAAAACGCAGGTGGGGGAGGGGGGAGGGTGCAGTGGGGGCCCATGCCAGGAAACACCCTGCCGGCCTCCAGGGTGCCCTGGGTTTCTTGGGTTTCGACGGTTTTGCGATGGAAAGCTTGACGTCCCCACTTCAAAAATGAATGGACGTCCTGGGGTTCCAGAGGTTTCTTCTGGACGGTATCTTGAGGTCGAGACCCTATTGTATCCCCTCCCCGAGGGGCAGAGGGTTCTGAGAATCGGGGGCGAAGACGTCGTCAGACCACCTACGACCAGAAGGCTGGTGGGACTCAGCGACACGCCGCCAGGGAGGGCGGGGCCCGTCTGCGATCCGAAGGACTCGATTCGATACCACCAAATCCGAACCAATTCGGTTTCGATGTCCTGGGGATCCGATGCGGCCCGATCGGGTTCGATTTCGGTTCCGATCCGATTCGATGTCGGTTTCGGTTCGATTCGGTTGCGTTGGTGTGCATCCTGGCGCAGCCGATCCGTTTTGATTTCGATCCCGTGCCGATGCATCCCAGTGCGGTGAATACATTTTGCGTTGCCAACGTCGCGGAGCCCAGCGGCACGACGAGGGAACGACAGACGAAAGCGACGACGACGGCGGCGAAGGGAAAGGAAGGGCGAGGGGGCGATCCGATTCGATCTCCCAAGAAGATGTTGACTGCTCTCAGGAGGCAAGACGAACACAGACACGCAAATAATCGCCGAGTCCTGGGAATGTAGTTATGGAAACTACGGAAAGTGGAGTCGAAGATAAGCATCAAGAAAATATTGAACATACGGTAGGTTTGCGTCGTGTCGATTGGCGTCGACCCCGCCGGCGGCGTTCACTGTTGAACGACGCTGGCGACCCAGAACTGGTCGATGCTAAACGACCTGACGTTTCGGAAAAGGCCGATCGTCCAAGGTGGGACGATCCCCGCGGTGTCAGGAACCAACGCCGAAGCCGGCACGGCACGAACCTGCCGTATCACCACCACGATCACCATCACCATCATCATCACCATTCCCCTCCTCCTCCTCCTCCGCCTCCTCCTTCTCCACCACATCTTCCCCTGCTTCTCCTCCTCCTCCTCCTCCTCTCCTTCTCCTCCTCCTCCTCTCCTCCTCCTTCTCCTCCTCCTCCTCCTCCTCCTCCGCCTCCTCCTCCTCCTCCTCCTCCCCGGGGAATCCCTTTCTGTGTGCCCTGTAGCCCCTCCCGTGTGCTCCCGCGCGCTGGCACGGGGGAGGGGGAGGAGGAGCAGGAGTAGAAGGAGGGAGGAGGAGGAGGAGGAGGAGGAGGAGGAGGAGGAGGAGGACAAGGAGGAGGAGGGCAAGGACGAGGAGGAGGAGGAGGAGGAGCAGGAGGAGGAGGAGGAGGAGGGAGGAGGAAGGAGGATAAGGAGGAGGAGGACAAGGAGGAGGAGGAGGAGGAGGGGGAGCAGGGAGGAGGGAGGAGGGAGGAGGGAGGAGGAGCAGGAGGAGGACAAGGAGGAGGGGCAGGGCTCGCCGTGGCCTCGGCGTGGCCTCCCCCGGACGCGTCTGGCCCCTCAGCAGCCGGCCGCCGGAGGCCGCCGGCGCGCAGGCCGCACCGCCGTCGCAGAGCCTCGTCGCGCAGGTGCTGGCGCGCGCGGGCTCTCCGAGGAGCAACAGTCCTACATTTCTCGGGTAATTATGGCCAGTATTTTTTTGATTATTTTTTGTGTACTTTTTCGGATGATTTTTGGATTCTTTTTGGTGTATTTTTTTTTATTTTTCGTCGAAAATGCCCCTGTAAGGGGACAGGCCCGTCGTATGCCTCGGGCTCGAGGCCTCCTTATTGAATTTACGTCGGGCATTGACGAGGCGTTGACCTAAGGAGCCCTAAATAAGGAACGAGGCCCCTTTTTCCTATGAGTTCAACCTCAACTTCCCATGGAAAGCCTCAGGAAAACCGGAGACAAACTGCAGAAAAATCAACGAACACCGAGCCCCTCCCCAACGAAAAGGGTTCCTTCTTCAGGGCCCCGACTGTACACTTCTCGGGATTGGGAGAGGGAGGGTACGAAATTTGCTGCATTCAGCTGGTTTCGGCCTCACCGAAGGGCCCATATCCTCGGTACATAGCCGCATCCGGCGCCGGGAGGCGCCGGGGAAATCAGCGCCGTGAGCTGATTCTCAACCCCCCCCTTTGCTATCCCCCCCTTTCGCCCGACCCGAGTCCTACACTTCTTGGGTATGGCCAGGACCCCGGGTAAGGGGACCCGGTTAGTGGTAGGGCCCTGGGGCCCCTCGATTGGCCAGATTCACTAAACCAGGTTTGTCGTAACTAGTGTTTTTCGGGTGACGGCAGTTCCGGTTAGCGGAACGGGGCGGGGGGGGCGCCCCCTGGTACACATCTTTAAACCAGGGTCCACTAAACCAAGCTTTGCCAAAGCCCGTTATTAGGTTGGGCCTGTCCCCCTACGGGGGGATTTTGGACGAAAAATAAAACGTGCCCCCCAAATGCCTCAAATGGTCAAACAATGTTCCAAAAGTCGTCCCCAGGTTTTTCAAGACTATTTTTGAACATCCCCCCTGTAGAGGGACAGGCCCGACTTAGTCCTAGACTCAGTATCGTTTCAGCGACCCCCATCCCCATCCTCATCCCGTTCGAGACCCCTACCAAATCACCACCCCAGTTGGGGATGCACCCCTCGAACCCCCCAAAAACTACAAAAGTGCTACGTTGAAGCAGTGGCGAAGCTGCCTGGCGTGCCTACAGGCCTACCAAAGAGTGTTCTAAGAACCTTTTGGGGTCTGCGCGAAATGTTCTCAGAGCATGTCTGGCTGGGACTGTCTTGTTTCATCAACACATCGGCTTTATGTTCTAAGAATGTTGTCTTTGCTCTCAGATCATTGCTGGCGCGCGCGGGCTCTCCTCGGGGCTGAAGATCAAGAGTGGACACATCACCCAGACTGGACACTTCGCGTTTACCAAAACGGCCCTGGGCGTTTACTAAACAGCCCTGCCCTGTTTGACTCGCCCTTTGGGTGCGTGTGCGTAACGGCTTCGCGCGTCGGGGTGGTCATCGTCGGGGTGGATTTTCTGCCCTCTGGAAGGGACGGGTCGAGCTTTTTGTTGGGGGGTGGAGGGCAGAGGGTGAAATCCGACATGCCGTTTCGATGGATGTTCGCGGTCTGCATTTGCAAGAGGCGGATCACAAGACGGAATCAGGTTCGAGGCGCGAAAGACCACATGGATTTCACCCTAAGCCCTCTACCCTAAGGAAATGCTCAGCAATTGTTGTCTTTGTGTTGATTGTGCATTTCCCAGATCAAAACCCTAAGCCCTCCACCCTAAGGAAACGCTCAGGCGGGGGTCCATGCAAGCGGCGTCAGCCAGGGCGCGCGCGGGCTCTCTCTGAGGAAAAAAGTGCTGCACTCGGTATCGTTTCACCGACCCCCGTCACCATCCTCATCCCCTTCGAGTCCCCCATGAAGTTCGGGGGTGGAAAAGAGGGGGGTGATGACTAGGGGGGGGTGGATATCATGGCGGGGGCCAAGCTATTTCCGCAGATTGCATGGCGCCTCTTCTTATTCCATTACGTCCCTGGCCCCCCGCTGGGCCGCGCACATGCCGCCGGTCATGATTTGCACCCCCCCCTCTTGGACACCCCCCTCTTGGCCGCTCCCGATAAGTTGCCACCCCAGTTGGGGATATACACACACACCGAAACCTGAGGGGACAGCCTGCATCGGCAAGTCGGCCAGTGGGACCCAGGCCACGCCCCTGGGGGTGGGGATCGGTTAAACGAAGCTCAGGGACGGGGGTCAATGCAAACGGGGCTCAGCCAGGGCGCCAGATCTTGCAGGATCCTGCAGGGCCAGGGTCGCGACGACCTGGGTTTGGGTGCAGGATCCTGCAGGATCTTGCAGGATCCTTCGCATTGACCCGGGTTCGGGTGCATCGACAAAAATCGGCGCCAGCGAGGGGGGGACGTTCGAGACTCAGAGTTCGATGTTTTTAGGGGGCACCGTCGGTCCTCGGCGGTTTTCAGGCGCGGCCTCGGGATGTGTTCGCGCGGGTGCGCCTCGCCGAGGGCGTTTCGGGGATGCCCAGACCGTCTCGAACGGTCGCCGGAGACCTGAGTTGTGACCCGAACATTGAAAACGGCGGCGAGCGAGGGGGGAAGTGAAAAGGAGGAGGCCTGCTCAGAAGGCAGCGGGGCTTCTCAGAAGCCCTCGCGCCTTGTGAGAGGTTTCCTTAACCTTCGGGGAAGGCTCAGAGAACTCTTCTCAAGAGGTCGAGGACTTCCGAGCCTTCCGAGAAGGCCTCCTCCTTCTCAGTTACTCCGATTCGATTCGATTAGATGCCGACGCACTCCACTTCCGATTCGATGCGTCTTCGGATTCCGATCCTGGTCTACGAATTTTCAATGGAGGCGTGGCAGCCTGCCGATGTGGCGCCGACTCTTTTAGTTCTATCGCCGAGCTGACTCGTCGATTCGATTCTGGGCTCTCCCGGGGCGTGTCCACGCCCACCGCCCCGTGGATCCGCCTCGAGGTGAGGGACAGCCGCAAAAGCAGCCTCCGTCCGCAGGGAAAATTAGCCTGGCGAAGGTTGCAACCATATGCAGTTGTGAAAACCGCAAATTGGCCGGCCCAACGGGCCAGAGGCGTGCTAAGACCTCCGGTAACTGCTAAATAGTACTTCTAAATAGTGCTAAATAGTACTGCTAAATAGTGCTAAGACCTCGCGGGGCGGCCCCTGGGGGTCCCCCGGTGAAAAGTACCCCGGGCGATCCCCGGCAGGGTCGGATCAGAGATGGTTTTGATGGCCTTTTTTCGACACCCCTCACGAGGATCGTGGCCTCCGAGGGGGGTGCACTCGACTACCCCGCCCCAGGAGGCCCCCAAGAGCCACCCAAGAGGCCCAAGGGGGGCCCAAGACGCCGCCAAGGAGCTCCAAGAGACCCCCGAGAGGCCCCCAAGAGGCCCCTAGGAGGCCCCAAAGAGGCCCCCAAGAGGCTTCAAAGAGGCCCCATAGAGCGCTCGAGGGCCGGCGGAATGAGCGAAGCGATTAAATATGAATGTCGTTTTCGGTGGTGCTACCTCTGTGTAGGGGAGACGCATGCGGGCACCTTCGGTGGAGCTCCCTATGGGGCCACGAAGCGCTGCCCAGGGGGGGGGAACCGCATGCGGGCACCCCTACTGGGGCCTTCGGTGGAGCTCCCTATGGGGCCACGAAACGCTGCCCTGGGTGGGGGAACCGCATGCGAGCACCCCCACTGGGGCCTTCGGTGGAGCTCCCTATGGGGCCACGAAACGCTGTCCTGGGTGGGGGAACCGCATGCGGGCACCCCCACTGGGGCCTTCGGCGGAGCTCCCTATGGGGCCACGAAACACTGTCCTGGGCGTGGGGGGCGCATGCGGGCACCCCCACTGGGGCCTTCGGCGGAGCTCCCTATGGGGCCACGAAGCGCTGCCCTGGGCGTGGGGGGCGCATGCGGGCACCCCCACTGGGGCCTTCAGTGGGGCCTTCGGTGGAACTCCCTATGAGGCCACGAAACGCTGTCCTGGGCGTGGGGGACGCATGCGGGCACCCCCACTGGGGCCTTCGGTGAAGCTCCCTATGGGGCCACGATGCACTGACCTGGGCGTGGGGGGCGCATGCGGGCACCCCCACTGGGGCCTTCGGTGGAGCTCCCTATGGGGCCACGCTACGCTGTCCTGGGCGTGGGGGACGCATGCGGGCACCCCCACTGGGGCCTTCGGTGGAGCTCCCTATGGGGCCACGCTACGCTGTGCTGGGCGTGGGGGACGCATGCGGGCACCCCCACTGGGAGCTTCGGTGGAACTCCCTATGAGGCTACGAAACGTGTGAGGGGTGTGCCGAGAGCAGAGGCAATGAGGGGGAGGAGGGAGGAGGTGGAGGGAGAAGCGGGAGGAGGAAGGAACGCGGGGCGCTGTCTCTTCAAAGCGAGGACCCAACACCACAGGATGGTTTGGAAAAACACAGACACAATTCATCGTCGATTGCCCGGAAAATGTAGGAAAATATTGGAAGTGGGGGGGAGGACAAAAGCCCAACAAATATGGAAATATAAGGGGACTCCTGTTATCTGTGTCTATTGATTTGTTTGTTCCTGGGCCCCTTCACTGAAGCGGGGACGTATCCAGGGCCACCGCCTGGCGACTCGGCAGGCTTTGGATACGGGTGCAGTTGCCCCCTAGCGTCGGGCCGAACGAAAGGGGGGGATAGGGAAAGGGGGGGGTCGAAATCTGTTGCATGCAGCTGGTTTCGGCCCCACCGCCGGGCCCAGTCCTCGATACATGGCGCCGCCCCCTGCGCCGGGAGGCGCTGGGAAAATCAGCTACGTGAGCTGATTCTCAAACCACCGCTTTGCTATCCCCCCCTTTTGCCCAGCCCGATATTCATGTCCACCGCCTGTTGAGTCCCTCAAGACCGATCCCTCGGGCGGTGATTGTGGACCAATCCCTGCCCCGGATTTCTCGGATCGGCACTGAACCCCCTTGCCTGGCGCGCGCAGCACGCCAGGGGCGGTGCCAGAGGCGCCGCCAGGGGTCTCCAGCGCCGATCCGAGAAGTCCGTGCGGACTTCCGAGCTTTTCTGTTTATGGCATTGCTCGTTCCCTTATTTGTGCTCCTCGAGAGGCTCGCCCTGGGTGCGAGGCTGCGCGGTGTCGCTCTTCCTGCTGCTCACCTGGACCTGCTCTAATCCTCGGAGGTGGGCCCGGCGAGACGGCCCTCGGTCCCGCCCCCCCTTGCGCGGATCGTCTCCTCCCGAGGCATGCTGTGATGTGCAAATGTTCCACCACCGCCACCATGTGTAGGTCGGGGGAGAGGGGAGGATGAGGAGCTCCTCCTCCGCCTCCTCCTCCTCCTCCTCATTTTTCTCCCTCCTCCTCATCCTTCTCCTCCTCCTGCTCCTCCTCCTCCTCCTACTCCTACTCATCCTCCTTCTCCTTCTCCTTCTCCTCCCCCCTCTCCACAGATGGCAGCGGTGATGGAACATGGGCCCATCATGCTTGAGAGGCTCCTTCGCCGCTACGGCCAGAGATCCGCCTCGAAGAGCTGGTTCTGAGTCGGGCCTGTCCCTTTTGCAGGAGGGGCACTCAGGAATAGGGAAGAAAATCGACCAGCGACGATGCTGCGTGCTCTTTCGACAATTCCCAGCATGTTCTTTGGGTGGAGGGCACAGGGTGAAATCTGAAATGCCGTTTCGACGGATTCTCGAGGCTGGAATTTGCAAGAGGCGAATCACACGACGGATTGGTTTTCGAGGTGCAGAAGCCCATCTGGATTTCACGCTGAGCTTTCCACCCTAAGAAAATGCTCAGCAATTGTTGTCTTTGTGTTGATTGTGTATTTCTCAAGTCAAAACCCGCCTGCAGGAGGAGGGACATGCCCGACCTGACACTGGTTAGGAATCACCCCGGCAAGTGGTCCAGGGACCGACTTTGCGTGCGGCTTGGGGCAGGGAGGGGGGGGGGGCGCCGCCGCTGTCCCAAAGCTGGCCCTCCTCCGACCATCACGGCTACGGCCCGCCACGGCCGTAGAGGGGAGGCAGGCTCCGGCGCGAGCGAAAAGGGTGCTCCTCCTCTCTTCTCCTCCTCGCTCCTTCTCGCTCCTCCTCTTCCTCCTCCTCCTTCTCCTCACCTCCTCCTCCTCCTCCTCCTCCTCCTCCTCCTCCTCCTCTCTCCTCTGCTCCTCACCATCATCGTCATTCGAAGAAGAAAACTCGCCACAAGCATATTTTGTTTGGCGCTCTGCGCGGATTCCTTGGATCCGTGCTGGGTTCATGCTTATGTCGTTTTTCCTTCTTCTAGTCATGTGTACGCATGAGCGGGTAATTGCTGTCAGCCCGCACAGAAAAGATGAGCATTTTGTTTCCAAGGTGACCCTCGCATCCTTCCCCTTCGGCCCATCCTTCGCCGCTCTCGCTGGCCGCGCCCCGCTCGCAGAATGTCGACTTGGCCCTCCGAGGCCCTTGCATCCTCACCGCGCGTGCTTCCCACGCCGGCTGGACTGCTTTGGACACCCGCCGAATGTCGCCTTCTTGGGACCTCCTCTGGGCATCGCAGAGCACGCCGCCCGCGTCGCAACGGGCTGGATTCGCCGGGGGCCGCTGGCCGAGGTGCCCGCGGGGGGAGCACCCCGCAAGGGGGGGCGCGGAGCTCCCCCCCCAGGCTCCCGGCCGCCGCCGTCCTGTGGGAGGCAGGCCGCACAGCCGTACGGCCGCCCAGTCGTCGGGTGTCGCGAGCGAGCGAGCGAGGGGGGGGAAGGAGAACAGTCACCATAAACGTCAACTTTTGGCCCTCCGCGCGGATTCCTGGAATCCCTCGCTGGGCCCTCTCAGAAGGCTCGGAAGTCCCCTGGCCTTACGACCTGGTTTCGGAGCCTTCCCCGGAGACGCAGAGCATTTTTCAGGAGGCGCCAGGGCTTCTGAGAAGTCCTGCCGCCTCCTGCGAAGGCCTTCTCCTTCTCATTTCCCCCGCCGCCCAGACGACCTTCAGTGCCCCCCGCGCGAGGCCCAGAGGGCTCCCAGGGGCTCCAAAATGGAGCGAAGAGCTTGGGGTACCCTGGGCCAGGGGCCCTTCCGGCAACGCCCCACAGTCGTCCCGTGCAGAGTCGGGCGGGAGTGAGGGTCGGAGGAGGAAAAGGTACCCATGATTACCGCTACCCTCGCCTGGTTTTCCCCTTGTTGGGCCTTCTGGGAGGCCCTCGCCGCCACCGCTGGATTCGCCTCAGAATCCTTGTCAGTCTGGACGCACCCCAGGAGAGGTCTGGGGAGTGGCCGCATCGGTGCATTCATGGTTTCCCCAGAGTGAAGAGGCCGAGCTGCCTCCCATAGGCGCCCCTGGTGTTTGCTTTCGAGGGCTATGGGCGTGTGTGTGCGTGTGCTTGTGCGTGTACGTGTGCGTGTGCGTGTGTGTGTGTGTGTGTGTGTGTATGTGTGTGCATGTGTGTCTGTTTCTCTCTCTCTCTCTCTCTGTGTATGCGTGCGTGCGTGCGTGCGTGCGTACGTTCGTGCGTGCGCGCGTGTGTGTGTGTGTGTGTGGCAATGTGTGTTTGGGCGGACCCTAAAAGGTCTCTGTGGGCTCGGGGGGGCTTAGAAGCGCGCGCGCGGTTGTTGCATTTCGACTTTCTACGCACTTTCGCTGCTCGCAGGGCCCTGACGCCAAAAAGTGTGTATGTGTGTTAGTGTCAGTGTTAGTGATCGTGTTAGTGGTAGTGCTAGTGCTAGTGTTAGTGTTAGTGTTAGTGTTAGTTTTAGTGTGTTTGTGTGTATTAGTGTAGTGTGTGTGTGTGTTAGTGTGTGTGTGTGTTTGCGTGCGTGTGTGTGTGTGTGTGTGCGTGTGTGTGTGTGTGTGTGTGCGTGTGTGTGTGTGTGTGTGTGTGTGTGTTTGTGTGTGTGAGTGCGTGCGTGCGGGTGTGTGTGTGTGTGTGTGTGTGTGTGTGTGGCTCGCTTCTCTTCTGTTCCTGGGGCCGTGCCCTACGCTACGCAGCCGCGCGCGTGGCCACGACGCCAACAGTGTGGTCGGCCCGACGCAGGCGCTGATTTGGCGGAAGCAGTGTGGGTGGGTCGTTGGGCGCGTCGTTGCCATGCCGCGCGGGCGAGGGTCACAACGGTGTTGCCCGATGCCGATGCCAAGCAGTCCGCCGCAGACTCCAGTTGAGTCCGACTTGGACGTGCGCATAACCCGCGAATGGGTCGGTTCACGGGTGGGTCGTACACGGGTCGTTGGGGCGACGACGACAGCGACAGCACGAAAGAACAAATGGCAATCCGCGCTGCGGGACTGCACTGCAGCCACGCACCTTGGGACAGTGGAGGACCGTGCGGCCCCTCACTCAGATCTTGTGTTCTTGGCTTCGCGGGCCGCCATGGCACACAACAGCTTTGCAACATGTCAAGTTGGACGCTTGCATTTTTGCACTCGTGTCTTGTGTCTGCTTCTCTTGAAGCCCTCGCCCCTGCCCTCCCCTCCCGCTTGCCTGGCGTCGGGGACGACGCCGGGGGGAGGAGTCGGGAAGCGGCGAGGAGGGAAGGTCTCCTGGGATGGAGCAGATGGTGCGGCACATCGGGCGCGATGAGCGCGAGCGCGGAAGCGATGGGCCAGCGGACCCACGACCCCGAGCGATGGACGCAACGACCCACGGCATAGAGCGAGGAAGAGCCAGTGCCTCTGCGGACTCGGGCGGGTGCCCTCTTCCAGCCTCGACCCAGACCGCGCATACCGTGGGGGGCCGTGCCAAGAAGCACCCTGCTTGCCTCCGGGGTGCCCTGGGTCCCTTGGGTTTCGATTGCTTTCTGCCGTGGGAGGCGCGGCGCTCCCTCGCCAACAAGCAGCGGACGTCCGGGAACTCAGGATTGGGTCTCTCGTGGAAGGTTTCTCGTGCTCGGGCCCCTACTGTTATGCCGGGCGTGTCCCCCTCTACAGGGGGATTTTCGACGACAAATAGAAATACCCCAAACATATTCGAAAAAGGACAAACAATCTTCAAAAAATAGTCCCCAGACTATGTGTGGACTATTTTTTGATTATTTGGGGTATTTTTTTATTTTTCGTCGAAAATCCCCCTGTAGGGGGGACACGCCCGACATAATCCTACTGCACCGCGCTGAATGGAAGTGGACCGCGCGTCGGCCAGTGGATTCAGAGGTTGCGAAGCATGCACGCGGGGGACCGATCACACGGGGGGGTACGACGTCTGCCTCGTGCAGCTGGTTTCGGCCCCGCCGCCGGGCGCCTCCTTCTTCCTTTTCTTCTTCTTGGTATTATTTATATTATTCTCTTATGTTTATGATTCCCTTTATTATTGTTATTAATTTTGTTGTTGTACAAATGTTTCACTAGTTTATTTAATAATGTTGTTGTCATAATGGTTTCTCTGATTGTTGTTCTTACTATTGCTGTTATACGATTGTTATTATTCGTTTCCTTGATATTGTTCTTCTTCTATGCCTACATTGGTGCCTTCGGCTCCTTAGAGGCGTCGGGGAAGCCAGCTATCGCTGCGTGAGCTGATCCGCCGACCCCCTCTTTTTGCTATCCTTAAGTCGGGCACGTCCCTCTACAGGAGGCGAATTCGAAAGCGGTAGCAAATCGTCAGGTGACAATTTTTCCGACTCTTGTTGAGTATGTGTTGACTATTTCTTATTCGTCTTCCCAAATCCGCCTGTAGGAGGACACGCCCGACCTGATGTTGTCCCCCCCCTTTCGTCTGACCCGAGTGGGAGGTGGGTTCAGTTGAGGGGGGGCAGACAGCGCCAGCGCTAGCGGGCCCGCTCCGCTGCGGCAGTGCTCCGCCGCAAGGAAGAAGGACAAGAAGCCCAAGAAGGAGAAGGAGAAGGAGAAGGAGAAGGCCGAGAAGCGGCGGAAGCCGAGCACCGAGTGCCCCGCCGCCGCCGTGCCAGCGTCCCGGGGCGAGGTTCCCAGGGGTCGCCGTTTTGTTATGCCCATCTCAGGTTCCCGTCCTCAGTGACGTCGCCTTCTGTCTTGGCTCGTTAAGTTTTGTTATTGTAGTTGTTGTAGTTGTTGTAGTAGTAGTAGTTGTTGTTGTTGCTGTTGTTGTTGTGGTTGTTGTTGTTGTTGTTCGTGTTGTTGTTGTTGTTGCTGTTGTTGCTGTTGCTGTTGCTGTTGTTGTGGTTGTTGTCGTTGTTGCTGTTGTTGTTGTTGTGGTTGTGGTGTTTTTGTTGCTGCTGTTGTTGTTGTTGTTGTTGTTGTTGTCGAACGCATTTCTGAAGAATAATTATTGTTGATCCCCCCACCGGTGCATACTGTTTATTCTCAATCAAAGTGTGCCCCTCGACGCTCGCACCCTGTTTTTTGACAAGGAAAGTCTTCCTGCTCAAACTGGCCCCCTGGCCCCCGGGTTACAACAACAACGGCTCCCGCTTGAGACTTCCCTACAGTTTAGCCAGGACCCCCGCTCCCGCCCGAGACTTCCTCACATTTTAGTCAGGAATCGCGCTCTCGCTTGGGACGTCCTTACAATTTTACAAGAATCGCTCTCCCGGCGCTCTGGAGTCGCGCTCTCGCTGGAGACTTGCTTGCAACTTACTGAAGAATGGCCTTGCGTTGGAATTTCCTGCAATTTGCCGAAGCGCCGCTCTCCCGACACCCAGGCACCCAGGAGTCGCGCCCGTTGTGGCCCCATGTGCGTGCCCTTCGTGTCCCCGCTGTCGCCATTTGTGTCCCCCTCACTGTCCTACGTGGCACAGTTGCTACCTTCAGTGACCCCATAGTTGCCCTCTGTGGCCCCGCATTATCTGCACTTCGTGGCCCCCGCTCGTTCGCGCTCTTCGTGGCCCCATACGCATTCCTTTCGTGTCCCCGCTGTCGCCCTTCGTGGCCTACTTCGTGCCCTTCGTGGCCCTGCTGTCGTTCTCTCTCGCTCTCGCTTTCGCTTGTCGTCGCCGTCGTCGTCGTCGTCGTCGCCGTCGTCTTCGACGTCGTCGTCGTCGTCGTCGTCGTCGTCGTCGTCGTCGTCGTCGTCGTGGTCAGTCCCCTGTCCGTCCCTCTTGGGGTCGGGTCGACGGTCCGCGGCCCAGCGCTGCCGCTGGCCAGGCCGACGGTCCGCGGCTGCCCCGGTGCTTGCCGGGGCCTGGCCTGCAGGGAAGAAAGGTATACCCCCCAAAAGGGGTTCGATCGAAGACGAAGAGGGCGGGTATCGAGGGTTTGGGAGATACGCGTTATTGGACACTCGAGCATATAAGGGCGAACAGTCTTAAAATTATTGTTGTTGTTGTTGCTGTTGTTGTTGTTGTTCCGTTCCTTCTCTCTCCCTCATGCGCATATGTGTGCCCCTCTCTTTCTCTCTCTGATCTCGTCCCCTCCCCCTCTCTCCCGCCCTTCCGCTCTCCATCCCAGGACATCCCCTCCTTCGCTCTCCCGTTCGCCCTCCATGGCGGTGTCCGAAGACCATGAGGGGGCAGCTTTGCAGTGACTGCCTCCAGGTGCGGCCTTCGATGGGGGGGGGGACGGGGAGGGCTGGAGGCGTCTTGGCGGCCTCTTGGGGTCGCCTGGGCACTTCTTGGAGCCCTCTTGGGGCACCCGTTGAAGCCTCGGGGGCCATCTTCGGGCCACCGTGGAGGAGATCAATTAAAGGAGTGGGCTGACTCAGGGCCCTCCCCCACGAGGCCAACGTGTGACCAAAGCCTTAGTAACATCAGTAAGCATAGCATCCTCGCCGAGGCCTCTTGGGGTGTCTCGGGCACCCCTGGGAGCCTAGGCGAACATCTTGGGCCATCTTGGAGGAGATCGATCAAAGGAGGGACCGTACCACATTAGGCCTCCCCCCCTGCGGAGACCAACATATGGCCAACATCGAAGTCAAATCAATGATTAGGGCTTCCTCGCCGAAGCCGTTTTGAACGCTCTGACGACCCGCGAGCCCCCCACCCCCCTCCAAACCCGGGGAAAGGGAGTAGGGGAAACTGTAAACCCTTCTCCGAAGGCGAAGAAGGGGGGTTGGAAGAAGACATCCCCTAAACCACTCACGCCCTAAAGGGCTGGTGGGATTTAACAGCTTTATGCTCGCACGTCTGGAACTTGGGCTCGCACGGTCGCCTTGGCCTGCCCCTGAGCACGCATGACCACACAGTCCGGGCTCCATGCGTTCTGGACACGCGTTCGATTGCATCTTGAGCAGACGCGTAATGCGAGCTGAAGATTTGTTGTCGATGTTTCGTCACCGTGGAGGGGGACGTAGCTGGCCTGTGTGCGCGTGTTGCTCATTTCCTATCTTCGTCCTCCTCCCTTCCTCCCTCTGAAGCGCTAGGGTGACCCTGGGATTGGGGTGACCATGGGACGCAGCCTGATGGAGCTTCCGCCGCCGCGACACGCTGAGAACAAGTTACCCAGGGCACCCTGGGATCCGACGTGGCAGAACACACGCAACGACGCGGAAAACTGCGACTGGGGCTGTAGACCCAATCTTACAGCTTCGGGGTGCCGAAATTTTCGGCGCCCCCACTGTGGGCCTCCCATTGGCGGAGAAGGCTGAGGACAAGCTCGGGGTGGTCATGAGATTCATCCGGGCGTCGGAGCTGGGTTTCCTCACGGGCATCTCGCACTGCCTGCTGCGGTACCCTCACATATCCTCCTTTGTGGCGAACCCCTACGACCTCCAGGGCAACTTGACGACCTCCCTCCGTGCTCTCCGTGACCATGCAGTGGAACTCGCCCGGGAGGCCGCATTGGGTCTGCTCCTGGAGGTTCAGGACGACGTTGCGGAGGGAGACGCGCTCCAGGTGAAGCGGAAGAGGCAGCGAGGCACGCGCTTGCTGTAAAAGTTGGCGCCCGGTCGCAGCTCTGGCATTGGGGCCATCGTCGACGAGCGCGGCAACGTTGTGACAGGGGCGGCCGAGATGGCGAGCGTGCTTCGGCGGCATTGGGCAGAGATTTTCCGGGAACGCGGCGTTCGGCAGGATCGTCTCGAGGAGTGGTTGGTCGATGACGCCGCCGACCGGGAGCGCCAGGGCCCTCTTCATGCGGCGGTGCACGAGCTCCGGCTTACACGCCAACACGTTCTAGAGGCCCTCCGACTGTCCAACGACTCTTGCCCAGGGCCAGACGGGCTACCCTACGGGGCATGGAGGGCATTGGACGACGTCGCGGTGAACGTGTTGCACGGTGCTTTCGAAGAGATGGTGTCCGCAGCAGGGGAGGAGCAGGTCCGGCAGCAGTACGCCGACTTCAACGAGAGCCTCCTCTTCTTCCTCCCCAAGGCTCTGGAGGGCCACTCGGGGGGTGAGGCCGCGGCCTTCCCTGCGAGCGGCGTTCGCCCGCTTAACGTGACGAACTGCGACAATCGCCTCTTCGCCAGTGCAATTCGCCTGGTGCTGGAGCCCGCGATCGAGCCGCTCATTATCTCGGACCAGCGCGGGTTCCTGCCAGGACGTTCGATGATTGCGAACCTTCTAGACGTCGACGAGGCGATGGCCCAAGTAGCCGCAGAAGGGGAGGAAGGCCTCGCTCTCTTTTATGATTTTGCGGCCGCCTTCCCTTCAATTGAACATAGTTTTTTCCATAAGTTTTTTGCTTCGCTGGGCTGGCCCCCATGGCTCCTCCGAGCCATCGGCATATTGTACCAAGACAGTTTCTGCTCCATCAGCCTGGGCGGAGCCCGATACCGCGGCTTCTCACTGACGCGGGGCATCCGTCAGGGATGTCCCCTCTCTCCTCTTTTGTTCGCCATGGCCACGGACCTCATGCTGCGCAGGCTACGGAGGGTATCCCCTTCCGCGTGCACGCGGGCATGGGCTGACGACTTGGCCATGGTTGTTGGGGAGGGTTACAATCGCCTCCGCTGTCTCCAGTCGTTTTTCATAGATTTTGCTTTGGTTTCCGGACTCCACCTCAACGTGCGGAAGACGGTCATTGTACCGCTGTTCCGATACCAAGAGCAGGATGTTAGGGACGAGGTGGCCCAACAGGCTCCGGATTGGGGCTCCGTCCGGATTGCGGGGGCTGCGAAATATCTTGGTTTTATGGTGGGCCCGGGGAGGGCCGCCAGCTCCTGGCAGGCTCCGCTGAGAAAGTACATAGATCGGGCGAGACTTTGGGGGCGCCTCGGCCTGGGATTTCTCTTATCTCTGCAGGCGTACCGAGTGTACATCAGCTCTGTGCTCCAGTTTGTTGGTCAGCTGGAGGACCTCCCTCCTGATTTCTTCGTCCACGAACAGAGGGCATGCCAACTTTTGCTGCCAGGTCCGACGAGCTGGATGGTTTCACCCTGCCTTCGGGATTTGCGATCTCTCAGTTTTCCCAGCGAGCTGCCGGATATTGTCGCCACTGCTGCAGCTGCGAAGGCCCGCGTGGTGCGATTTGAAAATGCAGCCTACGGCGGCCTACGCGTGCAGGAACGTGCATCGCGCTTGCGGGATCTTCTGGCCAGTCCTGCCTGTTCCTTAGCTCATGCTGGATGGTGGCAGTCATGGGCCCAAAACTGTTTCTTGTTCAAGCTAGCCGCCGCCGACAGCGGTTTCCAGCGACGAGTTGCTCTCCTCCCCGCAGGGGGTGGCCTAGACTTGAGCGTACGGCGCGGCTGGCAGGGCAGGGTGACGAGTCTCTTCAGAGCGACCCCGCCCAGAGCTGCCTATGTCCACCTTCGCCGTCGGCTCGAAAGGTGGCCGCTACGGACCTTCCCAGGCCGTCGCGTGGAGCGCGCGCTGATAACTTTTCGAGTTCTGGGGCGGAGCGCGGCGCCCCGAGTCCAAGCCGCCTATTTGCGCACCCTGTGCGACGGGTGGTGCACGCGGCGTCGGTTTCAGAGTCGCGGTCCCTGTTCATTTGCCTGTGGCGTCGGCGACGACAGCCTAGCACATTTTGCACGCTGCCCGACAATTCGAAGGCTGACTGCATCCCAATTCGGTGGGCCAACTCCGGCTCCGGAGTGGGCCCTGGATTACTTCTTCTGCATGCCTCCGAGCAGCGGCTCGCAAGCGATGGGAGGAGATGCCCTCCTCCTGCAGCGCGCTCTCTCTCTCTCTCTCTCTCTCTACGCCCTCTTCAGGCTCCATAGCGGCATCCGGCATCATCAGTTTTCCCCCTCCGAGTTCTCGGGGGCGTACAATAGGTTTCTCCGCGAAGGGGCGAGGTAGCCTATTGCCTACACTCTCTTTGTTCTCTCTCCTCCTCCTCCTCCTCCTCCTCCTCCTCCTCCTCCTCCGTGCCCCCAGGTGGCCCCCTGAGGGCCTCCACCGGGCTCCAGCTGGCACCCGGGGTGGCTAAACAAATCAGCACGCATTTTGCACCGTCCTTCTCCTTGTTGGGGAGGTTGTTGTGTGGGCTGTGTGTTGTTTTTGTTTGCCTCTCTGGGTTCCTTTTGGCGCCCTTTTGGGGCCCTCCCGGGGACTTTCCTGGGCCGGCCTCGGGGGTCGGCGGGCGGTTTTCTCGGAGCTAGGCTTGCAGGTGGGTGCGAGTTCTAGCTCATGCGATCGGCTGCGGAGCGCAGCATCCTTTTATACTTGCTTTCAACTTCGATCGTGCCGCGCTGTTCTGGCACTGGCTCGCTGGCGGCTGCCGCCTTGCGACTTCCACACTGGACGTGTGGGCACTCGTTCTGTCCGTTTGTCCTCCTCTCTTTCTTGTCGTCGTTCCCCCCTCTTCCCCCTCCCGCATTTCCTCCAGAATGACGTTGTGCGCTTTTGAATTTTATACGTGGCCGTTCGGGCCGCTGGGGATGTCCGCACAACGCCCTCGCCCCCTCGTCTCCTCCTTGTCCTCGCTCTCCCCGCTTCTCTGCCCCCCCTGCCGGCGGGAAAATAGCCACATTTTGTTGCGCGTGCGTTCTCCTAAGCAGCGGCGGCCGCTTGCTTGCTGTGTTGGCTCCGTTTGTGCCAGTGGCTTCTTTTCACCCAGGAGGAAAGGGCGAGGACGGTCCTGCGGCAGGACAGCCTGCCGACTCCCCAGTCTCTATCCAATAGTCGGCGTCGGTCCGTGGGTTCATCGTTTCCGAAAAAAAAAGACCCAATATTACTGCTTCCTCTCCTGGGCGTCATCGACCTGCGAGGGGCCCCAGGCCTGAAACCTGACGCATTGCCGGGTGTGGAGCAAGTGCGAAGCCATGATCTCGGGGCAGTTGTAGGCATCTGAGCGACGGGAGGAAAAGGGTTCAATTGCGCGCACGTTGCTCTCTCGTGTGCCATTTAGGCTCCTGCTGGTTAGCGGTAGCTCTGGACGGCGCGCGGCTCTTCTGTTTGCGCTCGCGATCAAAAGATTGCGCGCACGTTCACGTTTACATTTTACGCGGAAGGTCTCGCGTAAACGCCATCTTCTCCGCGCGGTGTGCCAAGCTGGCGACCCGCGTAAGCAGCGCTGTGAGGTCGTTCGTGATAATCACGATGGCGATGATGATAGTCATTGAGATGATGGTGGCGATGATGTTGCTGGTGGGGTTTATGACGCGATGGAAACGATTATGACAATGATGGCGATGTCGATGTCCTGGACGATGCCGATGCGATCATGCGGATACTGTTGATAATGAAGACGAAGCGTATGATGATGCTGATGCTGATGACGAGGAGGAGGAAATTGATGAACACGATGATCATGAGGCTGTTGAGGATGATGAGGATGCTAATGATGATGCGGTTCGTGTGTTCGCTGCAACTTGCTATGCCCGCGCATCGGGCAGTCACTGGTGCAAGTTCGGCGGGGGCTTCTCATGGCCTCTTTTGCACCGCGCCGAGCTGAGCGGGTTCGAGCCTACAATGACACACGACTGCTCTTGCGCAGAATGTGGAACTTCCTATACCTACTACCACCAGGAACCAGCCTACCACCTACCACCCTCTCCCGTTGGAACTTGTCCTTTTCGCCACTCATTCAAACCTTTTCGGCTCTGGTGTGAAGTTGGCCTGCAGGCTGTGTTTGCTTGCTGTGCATGTTTCGCTTCTTGAGGAAATGCCGTCAGGCCGCATGATAAGGATGAGCGGTTTTCCAAGGTTACACTTGCATCCTTCCCCTTCGGCCCATCCTCGGCCGCTTTTGCTGGCCGCGCCCCGCTCGCAGACTGTCGACATGGTCTTCCAAGGCCCTTTCATTTCTACCATGCGTCCCTATTCTACGGGTCGGCTGTAGGGCTGATTCCGCCTGGCCAGCAGTGGTGGGAGGAGGAGGAAGAGAAGGAGGAGGAGGAGGAGGAAGAGGAGGGGGAGGGGGAGGAGGAGGCGGAGGAGGAGGAGGAGGAGGAGGAGGAGGAGGAGGAGGGAATAGTTTCGTCGCTCATTTGGGCTCCCAGCCGGGCGCCGCGCGCGTCCGCGGCACTGGCGGGGGCGGGAGCCGCAGGCGGCGTGGGTGGCCATGCAGTGTCTGCGCGGGTGCTGCGGGCCGCTGCCCGCGCTGCCGCTCTGGGTCAGGCTAGAGGGCCCACGCACGCACACACACAAGCACACACACACACACATTCACACACACACACACACACACATTCACACTCACACACACATGCACACACACACACACACACCCACACACACAAGCTCACACACACACACACACACACATTCGCACACACACACACACATTCACACACACAAATTCACACACAAACGCACACATACACACACATTCACACACATAATATGTGTATATAGATATAGATATAGATATATTCATAACATATATATATATATATATACACCCCTAAATGTATATTATGGTAGGGCCTGGGACGCCAAAAAAGACGCCCCCCCAACCGAATTTGGCCCTCCCCAGGCCTCCGGGCAATCCTTTAGACGACCCGGGAGAACCTCACGAGAGTCCGAAGATGGCCCCAGACGGGTTCAAGGCGTTCCGGCGCGCTGCCGAAGCGTCCCCAGAGAGCCCCAATACGGTCCACGACGACCCCCAAGAAGCCGTCATACCCCCAAAGATCGCTCCAAAACATCCCAAGAGGCCTTCAAGAACAAGAAGGCCCCAAGAGGCAAAAATCATTAATTTCCTTTTGGTTTTTGGTTAATTTTGGTGTTCTCCTCTTTCGGCTTCCCGACGCTCCAATACCGCGGTCTTCTGGGCGTCCGAAGCCGCCTGGGAGGCTCCAAATCGCCCCACAACCATCCGAAAGGGCTTCCGGGCAGTCCAAGAGAGCCCCAAGACGGCAGAACAGGGGTCCAAGATGGCCCTCCAAGAGCCCCACGGCGTTCCAAGATGGCCCCAAGACACCCACCGAAGCATTCCAAATCGTGACCCGGTCGTTCGGGGAGACCGCGGTTGGAGGCAGGGTGGCCCGCGGAAGCCCCCAGAGGCCCCCATAACACGCCCAGGAGGCCTCCAGAGACTTTCAGAACGCCTGAACAATTTTTGCGAGATCCCCAGAGGCTCTCCAAGGAGGAGCCTCCGCAGAAAGAGCTGAGGAGGATGGGGAGAATGCGCAGGGTATGGCGATAATGAGGAAAAAGAAGCTTGGAGGAAGGATAACGCAAAACATTACTATAACGGCGATGCCGAAAAACAAAAGCAACAAGGATTATTATCAGAAGCCGTGTGACGCGCACATGAGCAATGGAAGGGAGCTAGCGAGATCGGCTGTACTCTCGCGCCGTGCTCTTCCAGACGCTTGCCGGCATGGCAGCAATCTCTGACCAATTGACACTTCTTTGTACACCTGCATGCAACGCGTGTTTATAAACTTCGCGCACCCACACCTGTCTGGGGCGGCCGCGCCGGCGGACTGAGGGTAGATCTCGAAGCTCCGCGCTTCCAAGCTTGAAACGACATCCGCGCTCGTGGTGGCCGTCGCCCATGCGCGCGATCTTGCCCAGAAGTGCAAGTTGTCGCTCCAGCAAGATTTGGCTCATCCGGCTTTGCTTCGCCTGGCCAAGGCAACAAGGAGTGATCGCTAAATTGTCGGTTTGACCGTCCTGCCATTCCGCCTGCATGCCAAATCTCGAGGACCAAGGTGCATGGCGCGAAGCGCCACTGCAGTCTGGTGTGTATATATATATACACATTGTATATGTATATATATGTATATATATATATACATATATATATATATATATGTGTGTGTACCTGTGCCAGTGGCACGTGCAGGATGTGTGTGATAGGTTTATGTCATCTATGTTTGCGTGGTGTGTGCGTGTGTTGTGTTGCGCGTGTGTGGTGTGTGGGCTATTTGTTTGGGTCCTGTTTGTTCTGCGTGGCATGCATGGTATGTATGGTCCTGGGCTCCGGGCCCACGGCCCCGCTCCCTCCCCCCCGATGGTATGGTCCCAGGATTCCTCGGGCCCCCCCCCGCCCCCCCAGATGGTATGGTCCCAGAGACGACGACGACGACGATGACGGCGACGGCGACGGCGACGGCGACGGCGACGATTACGACGACGGCGACGACGACGACGACGACCACGACGACGACGACGACCACGATGACGACGACGACGGCTGCGGCGGCGACGACGCCGGCGGCGGCGGCGACGACGACGATGACGACGATGACGACGGCGAGCGACGACGACGATGACGACGACGACGACGACGACGACGAGGACGACGAGGACGACGACGACGACGACGACCTCTGAACCACCACAGCACCACACCACATCCACAGGGAGGGGGGGAGGGGGGCACCGCAGTGCAGCACCACGCCACGCCACCTCTGAACCACCACAGCACCACACCACATCCACAGGGGGGGGGGGGGGGGCGCACCGCAGCGCAGCACCACGCCACGCCCACAGGGGGGGGCGGAGGGGACCATCGCGCGGGGGGGGGGCCCAATGGCATCAGCATTGGGGGGGGGGGGGCAAGCCCTGGACCATGTATGTGTGTGAGTGCGCTCTGTGTGTGTGTGTTGCGTTGATTGTGTGTGTGTGAGGTGTATGTGTGTGCGTGCGTGCGTGCGTGTGTGTATGTTACTTGTGTGTATGTTGTTTGTGTATGTTCTCTGTGTGTGTTCTGTGTGTGTGTGTTTTGCGTGGTGTGTGTGTGTGTGTTCTGTGTGTAGTCTGCGCGTGTTGCACATCGGGGCTCGATTTGGGGAGGATTTCTCATGCGAAACTGAATATGTTCAAGGATCGCTTTGAAAAGATATTTTGTTTTTGAAGGATGTCCCAGGCGAAACTGCAATGTTCAAAGAATCGGTCTCAAAACCATTGAATTCCATCATGTGTTTGAAGGCTTTTATGTCGAAATGTAGCACATTCCTTTTGCATTTGGACCCTGACGGCGCGATCTGCGTGAGGGGTGCCACCGATTTTCAGAATGTTGAGGATGTCCAGAGCGGAACGGTCAAACAAATCTCGAACGGGGCGGGACCCTCGATTAATCGCCTCCGAGCTCTACTCCCTCGGACAGGTGCGTATCATAATATGTGTATGTGTAGGCTTTATATTTACATTTCCACATTGATACATCTATATATACATATGTATATATATATATATAAAAATATATGTACCGCTATCTTTATATAATAATAGCAAACATATGTACATCGGATAGCTCCTCAGAGGAAATGATAAACTACATATACACATATACATTTTAAAACTTACACATACACATATAAACTCACATCTATACAGAATAATCTCCCCTCCTCACGAGAAATGAGGATGAGCGGGAGGACGAGGACGAGGAATGAATCCATTTGACAGCACTAATGAGGAATTCTATTGCAAGGCATCGCGACAGCAACGTTTTTGAAACCACTCTCAAGCGATTCTAGTGGAAAGCCTCAGACTTGGAATCCGCTGCAAAGCTTAGAAGGTCCAGGGTTTGCTAGCGACTGGTTTCCTGCAAACCGGCCGAAACCCTCCCGACACCCTCCGAAAACCCTCGCGGAAGGGTCCGTGGAGGGTTTTCGGAGGGCTTCGGGAGGGTTTCGGAAGGGTTCTCGTCGCTTTGGGAAGGAGCCAGTCCCTAGCGAGCCCTGGGCTCTCTAACGCAAAGCACTCCACAAGGATCCGTCTGGGAAGCCTCCCTCGGCGCTGGGGCCCCCTGCCCGGCCGAGGCTGCGGCCGAGGCCGCGGTGGGGTCCAGGGGCGGGGCCGCGGCCGGGGGCACGGGCCCGGGCCGCCCAGATCATTGGATACCCGATGTTCTCGGTCGCGACCGATCGCGACCGATCCCCTAATCTGATGGCCTGTTTTCCACCACCACCACCACATGTTGGAGGGGGGAAGGAGGTGGAGGAGGAGGAGGAGGAGGAGGAGGAGGAGGAGGATGATGATGATGATGATGATGATGATGATGATGATAATGATGGTGGTGATGATGATGAGGAGGATACCCGATTTTCTCGGTCGCGACCGATCGCGACCGATCCCCTAATCTGATGGGCCTGTTTTCCACCACCACCATCATACGTTGGAGGGGGGAAGGAGGTGGAGGAGGAGGAGGAGGAGGAGGAAGAGGAGGAGGATGATGATGATGATGATGATGATGATGGTGGTGATGGTGATGATGATGATGATGATGATGATGATGATGATGATGATGATGATGATGATGCTGATGATGATGATGATGATGATGATGATGATGATGATGATGATGGTGGTGATGGTGATGGTGATGGTGATGGTGATGGTGATGGTGATGGTGATGGTGATGATGATGATGAGGATGAGGAGGAGGCGGAGGAGAACCCCCTCTCCCTCCTACTTATGGTGGTGGCGGTGGAAACAAGCCCACCAGAATCGGTCGTGACCCGTCGCTACCGATCGCGACCGATCGGTCGCGAGCAATCGGTCGCGACCGATTGAGGCAGATCGGTCGCGACCGATGCCGGAATTTGAAGCAGGCAATGGGTAGCGACCGATCTCGTCGGTCGCGACCGGAAGGTTCCGGTATCAAATGATCAGGGCGGGGCCAGGGAGGGACCGGGGCCCGTGCTGCTGGCCGGGGCGGGGGCCAGTTTGGGCATCTAACGTACATTGTGAGGGTCTCTTGGGTCGGCGTTGGGCCTCACCTTTTGCCACTCCTAGTGGCGCCTGCGCCGGCCCAAGACATCTGCGCGGACCGTGCGGAGGCTCATGTGCAGTTCTGATGCGCGTTGTCGTCTTCCGCAGGCGGCTGCTGATGGCCCTGAACCTGCTGTCCGTGCTGTGGATTGTAGTCAGTTCCACCGAGGAGGGCGACGACGTCGGCCTGGAGGTCGCCACCGACGGGATCGCCGCTGCCAGCAGTCAAGTATGCAGAAACTGCGAAACTAAATTTAAGCAGTCGGAGGTGCGCACGGACTTCTTGGAGCCGCCATCCTTGGCATGCGCAGCGCGCCATGGACGCTGCCGGAGGCACCGCCTGGGGGTTCCGGCACTCCTTCTATAGGTCCCCTTGCGGACCTCGGCAAGATCTGTTTCTGTGGTGAAGCCCGTGGGCCCTTCCAAGTCGGGCCTCCCCCTGCTTCCCGAGACGCCACCGGCTTCTTCGAAGCCCCCCCCCGCAGGCTACAGTTGACACGAGGGTCAAGACGACCTAGCTTTGGACGGGTACCCTGAGTCCCCGGACCCCTGTCTGGGCCCATCCTGACCCGCTGTTCGGGGCGGATCCAACGGGCAGGAGGCCCAAGAAAGGAGTCAGAACGCCAGAGCTAGGCGATGTTGACTCGATCGGCCCTCCTCCGACTTCTCAGGCCCCCGACGTCATGTTCCTTCACAACGTCGACCCCTGGAATCTAGGCCTCCTAGATGGGGTCGGAGTAGATGGGGTCGAAGGAGCGCGCCGCATCGCCGATGCATCGCCGATGCGGCTCGATGTGGAGCCCGATTTGCTTCACGTCGACGTCGCCGATTCATCGCTGACGTCGACGATGCACCGCTGGTGCATCGCCGATGCATCGAAGATGCATCGCCGATGCATCGTCGATGTATCGTCGATGCGGCGCCATCCTCCGACCCCATCTACTCCGACCCCATCTAAGAGGCCTCTATGGAAGTCTCGACCCGTTCACGGCAACTGGTTTCCCATCCCGAGTGGTTTGCTGACGGCCGCGGGGCCCAGCGGAGGCCCCTGGAGACCGAACATTACAAACACACACAAGACAAATGTTAAGTCGGGCCTGTCCCCCTACAGGGGGATTTTCGACGAAAAACGAAACATACCTTCAAAATAATAAAGATAGTCGCAAAATAGTATGGGGACTATTCTTTTGGTATTTTTGTTGCCTTTTGGGGGTATTTCCCTACCTAGGCTCTGCCTAGAGGGTTCTTACTCTCTTAGCTTAAAGGGGACGGGCAGTGTAAATCGCCCCGGGCGGTTCCCCCAGTCCCCGCCCCGCGGTTCCCCCAGTCCCCTGGGAGCTTTAGCCTTAGTTTTAGCTTAACTTTAGCTTTAGCTTTAGCTTAGCTTTAGCTTAGCTTTAGCTTAGTGTTAGCTTAGCTTTAGCTTAGCTTTAGCTTAGCTTTAGCTTAGCTTCAGCTTAGCTTCAGCTGAGTGTTAGCTTAGCTTTAGCTTAGCTTTAGCTTATCTTCAGCTTAGCTTCAGCTTAGCTTCAGCTTAGATTTAGCTTATTGTTAGCTTAGCCTTGGCTTAGCTTTAGCTTAGCTTTAGCTTAGCTTTAGCTTAGCTTTAGCTTAGCTTCAGCTCAGCTTTTGCTTAGCTTTAGCTTAGCTTCAGCTTAGTGTTAGCTTAGCGTTAGCTTAGCTTTAGCTTAGCTTTAGCTTAGCTTTAGCTTAGCTTTAGCTTAGCTTCAGCTTAGTGCTAGCTTAGCTTTAGCTCAGTGTTAGCTTAGCTTTAGCTTAGCTTCAGCTTAGTGCTAGCTTAGCTTTAGCTTAGTGTTAGCTTAGTGTTAGCTTAGCGTTAGCTTAGCTTTAGCTTAGCTTCAGCTTAGCTTTAGATTAGCTTTAGATTTAGCTTAGCTGTAGCTTAGCCTTAGCTTAGCGTTAGCTTAGCTTTCGCTTAGCTTCAGCTTAGCTTTAGCTTAGCGTTAGCTTAGCTTCAGCTTAGCTTTAGCTTAGCGTTAGCTTATATTTAGCTTTTGCGTTAGCTTAGTTGTAGCTTAGTTGTAGCTTAGCTTTAGCTTAGCTTCAGCTTAGCTTTAGTTTAGCTTCAGCTTAGCTTCATCTTAGCTTTAGCTTAGTGTTAGCTTAGCCTTAGCTTAGTTTTAGCTTAGCTTTAGCTTAGCTTCAGCTTAGCTTTAGCTTAGCGTTATCTTAGCTTTAACGTAGCTTTAGCTTAGCTTTAGCTTAGCTTTACTGTTACTACTAATGCTGCTTTCCTAGGGGCTCCAACTCCTAGGTAGGGTCGCACTTGGATAATTTTGGTGTCTTTTCATCGAAAATCCCCATGTAGGGGGACACGCCCGACATAACTTACAAACACAAACAAGACAAATGTCTGTTCCAGACGCGAGTGGGCCTGTTGTTCAGAAATCTACCCCTGGACCTCTGATCCTGGGGAGCGTGAGAACCAGAATTGGGAGGCGAATCCAGCCGTGGTGACGAGAAGCCCCCCCCTGGGAGGCCTGAGGCCTCGATCCTGGGAGTACGAAGTTCGAAGCCTGGCGCTGCAACAGGTCGCTACCGACTGGATCGTGATCGCCGGCACCCTTGGCCAGGCGATCAGCATCGTCCAACCGATCCTCATCCCCACTGGGCGATAGTATCTCGGCCCCACTGGCCCACACTCTTAGAAGTTGGGGTAGGTAGGCCCTGCGGGACCCAAAGGCACAGGCACAGATCCCCACCTCTTGGTGGGGACGTCGGCCATTGGGGCCACGGCCACGCAAGTGGTCGACTAGGCGTAAGAGTGACCTTTCGCTGGAGTGACCTTTGGTGCGGGCACAGATGGGCCTCAAGATGGCCGACAGAGAAGCGGCAGCAGCTGCTTGCGCCCTTGTTCTTGCCCCCCCCGCGGTCCCAAAAACCCGCGCACCAAAGGTCACTCTTGCGTGTACAGTCAACCATGATAGTAAGGATGGGACAACTTTCCAAGGCTACCCTTGCGTCCTTGCCCTTGCGGTATTCGGCATCCTTCGGCATTCTGCTGCGCCCCGCACGGAACACGTCAACATGTCGTTCCAAGGCCCTTGCACCCTCACCGCGCATCCTTATCGTCCTGGTCGAGTGAAGCCGAAACGGGGATGGGCATCGGCTCAACGTTGGCGAGGCGATGCTGCTCTACCGGCTGCTGGCGCGCCCACGGCGCACCGCCGCCCGGCTGCACCTCCAGTCCCTCGGCACGCTGGCGGCGTGCAACGCCCTGCGCGCGCTCGGCGTGTCGCACTGGTCCATCCGCCGGGCAGTGCCACTGAGGGAGGCCACCACCCCCACACCCTCGAGGAGGAGGAGGCGGAGGAGGAGGAGGAGGAGGAGGAGGAGGAGGAGGAAGGGGAGGAGAAACAGGGAAGAGGAGGACGAGAAACAGGGAGGAGGAGGAGGAGGAGGAGGAGGAGGAGGAGGAGGAGGAGGAGAGGAGGAGGAGGAGTAGGAGAAACAGGGAGGAGGAGGAGGAGAAACATGGAGGATGAGGAGGAGAAACAGGGAGGAGGAGGAGGAAGAGGAGGAGGAGGAGAAACAGGGAGGAGGAGGAGGAGGAGGAGGAGGAGGAGTAGGAGGAGGAGGAGGATAAGGAGAAACAGGGAGGAGGAGGAGGAGGAGGAGGAGGAGGAGGAGAAGGGTGGTCACCACCCCCAACCCCTCTCGCTTTACGATGTCCCCACCCACTTTAGCCGTGATCACCAGAAAGAACTTCGAGCACCAAGAATGTACCGAATCTGGAGGGTTTTCACGCGTCGAGCCCTGCGAGGCGTTGCTCGGCCGACACTTATTCGATACGACGATGTGAAAGCATCATGACTTTGGGGGTCTGGGTCACCTCTAAGTCGAATAATAATATACAAATTATATATATATAACTATATATGTATATATATATATATATTTATATATATATATATGTAAAACTATAATATCTGCATGAGCGTGAACTTTCGGAGGCCCGCGCGGATTTCACGGGTCGAGGCTGGGGCCCCCGCTAGTGGCGCCTCCAGCTCCGCCAGGGGGGTCCCAGCGCCGAGCCAAGAAAACCCAACATTGTAGAAGCGTAAATGTTCGGAGGCCTGCGCGAACCTCCGGAAGCTAAGGTTCACGCAGTGTTCATCGTCTTCTTCTTATTGAAGGGATGCCAGCTTGGGCTGCTCGCAATCCTGTTCCGTCCAATATGGTTCCCAAACATCGATGCCGATCTCAATCCGACACAAAGCCGTTCCGTCTCCGGTCTGCATGGGCCGAAACCGATTCTCGATAACAAGTTATCCGATCCTGGTCCGATTCCGCGACGCTTCAGGCGCGATCCGAATTGTTGCCGATCCGATCCGCCTTCGCGAGTCTGTTCAGCCCAGGCCTGAGTTCCTCCCGAGACTCGACACGCGGGGATCTGGGATCTGGGAGGTGGCTGGACGATCTTGGACACCTTTCTCCAGCCCGAGGGGCTTCTGGTCAGTATCGTCGAACCTACCTCCATACCCATTGTGCCATGGTATTTTGTCGGGCATGTCCCTCTACAGGGGGAATATTTAAAAATAGTCAAACGTTCGAATGGGCACGATGATTCTATTGTTTAAAACTATTTTTCAGTATTGGTCGACTAGTTTGTTTTTTCCTCAAATCAAGAGGGCATGCTCGAACTAACCGTGGTATTTCAGCCCCGCCAGCCCATCCTCCCACGTGGGGATGGGCTCGTGCAGCCCGAAGGAGCAGGCAGGCATCCTCGCCTCGGTGGAGTTGCGTCGGCCATGGGGACCCGCCGCCTGGGAGGGTCTGCTCCCTCTCGCTTCTCCCCCCCCCCCCCTCGCTCGCCGCCGAGGGCCGCAGGCCTGTCCTCGAGGAGGTGGCGACACCCCTTGAGACAAGCCGGGCATGCCCCTCTACAGGAGCGCGCTTCAAAACTACTGAGAGCAACCGTGCGAGGACGCGACTTTTTTTTTGTTGGAAGACCTGTTTCTCAGTACTCTGCCAGCACCCGCCTGTCGGCGGACATGCCCGACCGAGCCCCCGTGCGCCGCGGCGCTCCCCCCACACCGGCACTGCCCGGGGCCTCCGGCTGCGGGAGGAGCTGCCACTGGCCGAGGTGCTGGCCGCGCTCTCGCTGGCCACCCCGGGGGGCAGCGAAGTCGGCCGGCACCGGGAGGCTGCTCGTCCCGCAGGCGCGGGCGAGCGTACGGTGGAGGCCCATGCCAAGAGACCATCTGCTCGCCTCGAGGGTGCCCTGGGTTCTTAGGGTTTCGATGGTTTTGCCGTGGACAGCGCGCGGCGTTCCCACAGCATGGCATCCATGGTTTCTGCAGGCTCAGGAGAGCTTACTTCCGGGGGACCGATCTGGGTATACGGAAACAATGGGCACGCAGCCCAACATTCTGAACAGGATTCGCTGTCGGCGTCGCGGCGTGTGTTGTTCATTTGAGGCAGAAGGCCGCCTGCCCAACAGCGGCCGCTGTCGGGGCAGCGACGTTCGCACCGGGAGGCTGGTCTTTCTGCAGGCGCGGGCGAGCACCCTGCTTGCCTCCAGAGTGCCCTGGGTTCCTTGGGTTTCGATCGTTTTGTTATGGAGAGCGCGACGTTCCCACACCAAAATCCATGGACGTCCTGGGGTCTCAGGGTTGGGTTTCTTGTGGAAGGGTTCTCGCGGACTGGCCTCCACTGTAGTCGCATGGCTTCCCCCCTCCCTCCGAAATCGGGACGGAGCCTTTGCTAGCAAATCATGGCAGCCTTGTGTACCATCGTCATTCTGTCCTTCGAGTGCACTAGCGTCGGTTAGCGGCCGGTAATCGATGAGATACAGTTGAGACCCATGCTAAGAAGCACCCTGCTTGCCATCAAGGTGCCCTGGGTGTCTTAGGTTCCGATGAATTTGCTGTGGAAGGCGCGACGTTCACACGCCAAGAATCCATGGACGTCTTGGGGTCTCAGGGTCGGTCTTATTCTGGAAGGTTTCTCGGGCGGGCGTACTGCTCTTCTGCAGACGCGGGCGAGCGTACTTGCATGGCACTCTTAGGCAGGAATCATGAGAGTCTGGCGTACCCTGCGAATTCCGTCTCTAGCGTCGAATAGTGTCTGGGAGCCGATGCGATAGCGCCGATTTAGCGTCGGCTTGCGTCGATCAGCGTCGATTCAGCGTCGATTCAGCGTAGATCAGCGTCGATCCGCAAGAGCCGACAGGTTGGTATGGGAGGCTCCCATGAGTTGCCACCGAAGCATTCCCCCCCGCCATCCGAAGTTGGGACGGAGCTGGGGAGAGGCAGCTGCCTGGCTCCCCCTCCCCCCCCCTCCCCCCTCCCCTCCCCCCTCTCCCCCCTCTCCCCCCCCTCCCCCCCCCCTCCACAATTACACAATATGAAGATACTCCCACTTCCCCTGATGGCGTCCCGAAGATATCCGACCCCCCCCGCGTATTGTTTTTTACACACAGGATTCCCGGGAAACGGGTTTTCGCTTGTTTTTTTTCTCCAAATGCTGCTCTCGCCGAGGCGCCGGCCTCATTTTCGGGCCCCGCTCGTTCCGAATCGTGCTCCCGCTGCAGCGCTGGCCTCATTTCCGTGCTCACCACCAGCAGCAGCAGCAGCAGCACCACCACCACCACCACCACCCACCACCACCACCAGCACCACCAGCACCACCAGCAGCAGCAGCACCACCACCACCACCACCACCACCACCCACCCACCCACCCACCCACCACCACCACCACCACCACCACCACCACCACCACAACCACGCACGCACCACGCACGCACGCACGCACGCGCACCACCACCCACTAGTCCGCGGATAGAGAAAATCAGCGCCATGGTAAGGGATGGGAGGGAGGGGTAGGACGTCAGATATGACGCGCGCGCACCTAGCTTGCCCCTCCCCCTCCCCCCCTCCCCCTCCCCCTCTCCCCCTGTCCCCCCTCCCCCCCTCCCCCCCCCCTCAGAGTGCGGTGGCGGGCTCCCTGGCTGCGTCGCCGTGGGGGGTCGCGCACGAGGCGCCCCCCCCTCCCCCCCGCGGGCCGCCGGCGCCCCCCCCCCCACGAGCCGGGGGTCGTGGGCGCACGAGGCCGCCGACCGCCTCGAGAGGAGCAGTCCGGCCCGCCGCCTCTGCGAACGGCGGTGGACCGAAAGGGCGAGCCAGTCAATCCCGACTGGGGCGAAGGGTAGACGTCCTTTCGGGCCTCGCCGCGCCCCCTCCCTTTCCCCGCAAGGAGAACCCACCGGGATCTCATGGGAACGGCTTCCAGCACACACACACACACACACACACACACTCTTTTGGGCCCGCGCGGATGCCTCGGATCTCAGGGGACCTGTCCCTGAGGTACTTCGAGCTGCATGTTGCTTTACACCCGGCGATGTCGTCCTGTCTAGGGCACCGGAACCATCGCAAGTCGATTCCGCTGGAAGCACGTTTCATAAAGACGCGGCTTCGGGCCTCCATCGTGATTTTTGGCGAGATATTGTTCTTGTTTTCGCAATGTCGGATCTCAGGGTTAGATCTTGATGGCGCAAAGCAGATCGCGGCGGGAGGTTTGCTTACGTTCTCGCGGCGTTCAGCTTCTGGGCCCCGAGACTGTGAAGAAAGATCGCCTCGGGATGAGAAGCCCGTGTCTGGGAAGAGGTCGAGATCCCTAGGGGCCCACGTCGGGAAATGAGACATTAGCGGAGGCGGCGAGCAAGACGCCCTGACAGTTAGACGCTCCAGGATTCCCATGTCTTCTCGTCGTGCCGCGCGGGCTCCGGAGACCATGGTCGGACGGGGCCACAGGAGGAGGAGGAGAAGTCGGTTCCAGAGCGCTTCCAACGCTCTCAGAGCGCTCTGAGAACATGCTGAGAAGGCCGCGGCGTCCGAGGCATTCTCCTTCCGCTGCCGGAGAGGATCCTTCTTGGAGTTGTATCAAGATCCCGATCTGCCCGCCCGCCGCCCGCCGAAGGTTCTCCATGCTTCCGCTTGCAACATAACACCCAATGCTGAAAAGCATCCGTCTCGAGAGCCGTCGGATCTCAGCAGTTCACGCTTTTGTCCTCACCCGATGCTATCCTCGTCCTGGCTTCGTCTTACAGGGACACGGTATGCTCCAGACTTCCCGGCACGCCTCCCGAGCCCATCGCACCATGTCGCCGCTCTCGTCCTGGGATGGGCGCCGGAGCCCCCCCCCTGCGGCGGCGCTTTTGGGGCGTCGCTCCCGGTACGCTTCGGGGAGGGGCACCAGCCAGGGCCGCCGGCGGTTAAGGCCTGTCCCTCTACAGGAGGAGTGTTCAAAAATGTAACAAAAAATCTGAGGACCATTTTGCAATTTTTGTTGAATCTATATTTTGAACTTTTTTGGGGTATTCTTTTTATTTTTCGTCCACAATCCCCCTGTAGGGGGACAGGCCCGACCTAAGCCTACGATCCGATCCGATGCGATCCGATGCGCGGGCTGAGCCCGCGACTCCGATTCGATTCGATGTGGCTCGATGGGCCGGCATATGGGCGAGGGGGCCGGCAATGAGGCGATCCGATATTCCGACTCGGCTCGGGAGGAGTCGCGGGCGGTCCGACCGGTTGCTGATGCGATCCGCTTTTGCGAGGATTCGGTCCAGCTCAGGCCTGCCAGCGCCGCCCCAGGAAGCCCGCGCGGGACTCGGAGAGCTTACAGTCCAGGCGCCGAAGTCATTGAGCGCATCCCACTACACGCAAAGTACCTACTCGCAAACGTCAGACCAACACACGTGTTCCTCGGAGTAATTTGCCGGAAATCCCCCGCGGCGGATCCAGGCCGTTTGCGAGCAGCTACTTTGCGAGTAGTGGAGCGCGTTCGTCTACATATGAAGGAAGGGCCGCGCTGGGCTCGGATGGGGCCCGGGTTCTCGGGCCACTCCTTGGGTCTATTGGGTCGGGGAACCTCTTCGTGGAGATCTACGGATTTTTTACGACTTGTCTACAGGATCGACGAACAAAAAAAAGGTTAGGTGGAAATCAGTGTTGTAGTCGTTCTCCTTGAATTATCCCTCCCCCAGGCCAGCTTCTGCGCCGCGCTGTGGCACCGGCGCGGCAGAGGAGGAAAACAGATACCAGCACCGCTGCGCTTCCGTGGGGGCCCTCGTCACCACGGCTGGACTCGGCCCAGAATCCTGGCCACGCCGCTGCCCTGTCGGTGGAGGGCTCTCGTCGCTACGGCCGGACTCGGCCCTGGATCCTGGCCGCGCCGCCGCTAGAAGGTCCTCATCGCCACGGCCGGACTCGCAGCGGCATCCTTAGGGGAACAACAAGTGGCATAAACATAGAAACTCGGAGGTCCGCGCGGATTTCTCGGATCGGCGCTGGACTCCCCTCCCTGGCACGCGGAGCGCGCCAGGGGCGGCGCCGGAGGCGCCGCCTGGGGGCCCAGCGCCGATCCGAGAAATCCGCGCGGACCTCCGAGTTGTTATGTCTGTGCCACTTTTTGTTCCCCTAATCCTGGTCAGAGCCCGCTCTGGGAGAGGCCTGGGGGGAGCAAAGCATACCCATCGGCACCCGCCCCGGTGTGCTCCTCCCAGGCGCGGGGGCCCCGCCGTGGGCCTGGAGGGCGAAGACGGCGCCCGGCGGGCGAAGGGCCGCGCGGCACGCGCAGCCTGGGCCGTGCACCGCTGGGGGAGGGCCCGTCCCCGGGGCGGCCAGAGGCCGCTCGCCCCCCCGGCGAGCCGCGGTCGCGGGGAGCCTCAGGGCTCCAGGGGCGACGTGAGGGCTCCCCTCTTGCCGCGGCAGGATCCCATCGCTTCGACGCGTCGGCGACCCCAGCGCGGGCGTGCGAGGTGGACTGTCGCCAGTGGCCCAGTCCCTCCCTCCCTCCCTCCCTCCCTCCCTCCCTCCCCCTCCTTCTCCTCCTCCTCCTCCTCGGCCGGCGTCGAACGATCCGCGCTGCCGCGGGAGGCCTTGATCGGCCGGCCCGAGGCCGGGATGGCCACCGTGGGGGACACCGATCCACATCCGCGCCCTCCTCTTGGCATCGCTCGGACGTGTGCATGTGTCCTTCGGCGAGGACCATCGAGGAGCATCCTTGATCATTTGGCGGAAAAAACACGCATGAGACCGAAAAAAGCACAGGGGATGGACGTCCGAGCGATGGCCAGGAAGTGGGTACGGAAAGAATGGGCACAATGCCCAACAGCACTTCCTTTTCATTGTGAACAGGACTCGCTGTCTGCGCCGCCGCGGCCTGTGGCCGTCTGAGACAGGAGGCCGCCTGCCCAACAGCGGCCGCTGCTGGTTTCGGACAACCTTTGTTGTTGGGCATCGTGCCCATTCTTTCCGTGCCCATTTCGGGCGTCCAAAAGGGGGGGCTGAGCTTGTTCGGCTCCTCCTGGCTTTTCGGGTTCCCTCCGCTGCGCCAGTATGGATTGGCGCCTGTGCTGGGATCATGGGCTCGGGGTGCAAGTACAGTGCCGCCGCACTGACAGCCGCGCAGAAAGAAAAAAAGGGGGGCCTGAGCCCATCCCCCCCTGATCGCTCCTCCATCGCCGACGGGTTTCCGATGGCCCCCCCCCCCCGCGCCCTCGGAACCTGCAGACCCGCGAAGGAGCGGGGGCCCGTCGCCGACCGATCCATCTCGGCGGGGCGGCGCCGATGCCAGGGGGTCGCTGTCGCCCGCCCCCCCCCTCGCCCGCGCTTTGTGATGCAATTCTTCACTACGCCACGCCACGCCATGCTGTGACATACTACGCTTTGCGGTGCTCTTTTACGCCATGCCATGCCGTGCTCTACAATGCATCGCGTACCCTTTCGGGATCATTGCCCTGCTCGACATCCGACTGTGCGACTAGAGAGGGGACCCACGCCATGGTAAGGGATGGGGGGAGGGGTAGGATGTCAGATATGACGCGAGCGCACCTAGCTTGCCCCCCCCCGGGGCGTGGATTGGCGACGGGTCCCGCTTCCATGGGGAATCGCACATTTCTGCCGCCGAACGAGGCGGCACCTGCCGCATTTTGGGGAGGGCACCTCCTACGATCCATGGATTTGGCGACCGCGCCCCAATTCCATGGATCGCTAATCCGTGTCTGTGCGCCCCCGAGTCTTAGAAGGCGCGGGCCTTGTCTGTAGACGTGAGGCCCGCGCCTTCTCTAAGAAACAGCTTCCTTCGAAGAAGCCTTCCCCTCTTCCCCCTACCCCCTTGTGCGCGCCGCCAAGCCTGGGCCCGGCCTGGCCAGGAAGGGTGGGACCTCGCAGGCATCTGTTCTCCCCCCCATCCCCCGGCTTTTCTCGGGACGATCGATGTGCGTGCAGGGCAGTTTTCAATACATGCTCCGCGTGGGGATCATGTATTACAAATGCAGGGATTTAGTATTGAAAACAACGATGAGTTCATGCATAAATTTATTCGTGAATCAGTCATGTATTAAACATCCGATATGACTTAAGCATCCTATGTATTAAAAAACTGCCCTGTACGGAAAGAACGGATACGTGCAAAAGACCGACGGGACTTCCTGCTCGTTTTGAGCAGGGCTCGTTGTCGATGTGGCCGCGGCCTGTGCCCACTGGAGACAGAAGGCCGCCTGCCCAACAGCGGCCGCTGGTGGTTTGGGACAGCACTTCTCGTTGGGCAGTGCTCATTTTTGTCCGTACCCATCTCGGGCGTCCGACGACAGCTGAAGCCGCTCAGAAAAGGAGGGGCACTATGGCACAGACCCCGAGATGGCCATTCGGACGCGCCCCTGCCGAGGATGGGCGCGCCCCCCCCATCGTACATCCCCTGGTCGGGCCCCCAAGAAGTGTTGGGCCCACACTCGGAAGCCTCCCCGAGGCCTGGGGCAGGGGACGGCCTGTCCCCAGTTGGGGGGGAGGCTGTCGCAGTAGGCGGCGCTCCACCCGAGATGCCTGGTGCGGTCCCGCCGGGGCCTTCCGCCCGACCCAGGTTCGGGAGCCTTGAGATAGGGGTCAGTGCAAACGAGGGTCAGCCAGGGCACCGGATCCTGCAGGATCCTGCGAAGACCCCCCTCTGGCTGACCCGGGTTAGCGAGCCGCTCGTGGCCGCGAGGCGGCCGCGCACACTGGCTGACCCGGGTTTGCGAAGACCTGCGTTGCAGTTTTTGTTGTCCTGCATTGCAGTGTTTCGTTTCCTGCTGGCCCCGGTCTGGATTGACCCGGGTCAGAAGATCCCCGACAGGTATGGAGGAGCGCGCGTTCGAGGTGTGCGCCACACCCTGCCCGGGTCGGACGAGGAGGGCGGGGGGCCGGGGATGCGCCCTGGAGGAGTCGGCTCGCGCAGCCTGGGGTGCCTTGGCGCCGCTGGCCCCCGTGCTCGAGGGGGAGGGAGTTTTGCACACCCCCTCGTCCCCTGCTCCTCCTCCTCCTCCTCCTCTTCGTCGTCCTCCTCCTCCTCCTCCTCCTCCTCCTCCTCCTCGTCCCCTGCAGGCGGGTGTTTTGGGATTCCCCGCTTCCAGTCTGCTTGAAGCGCCTTCCTACTTCAGTGATCGCGTGGCTTCCCCTGTTCCGTCCTCCCCAGGGGGCGGGCGGAACCCAGTCCGCTTTCAGCCGACGCCTTCCTGCTTCATGTTTCTGCCTGCGTCTTCCGACCGAGGGGTAAGCGTGCACTGTCGGAGCTCCGCGCGCGGTTGTCTTGGGTCGGCGCACGGGGTTCCTCCGGCGTGGCGCTCCGCGCGCCAGAGAAGGCTTTTCTCTTTCCAGCGCCGATCCAAGGAGTGCTTATGCGGCTGATTGTTCCCGTATCCAGGAGGGGAAAAATCACATCGACTCAATGAATCGTCGACTCCCAGGAAACTACATGAAACTATGGGAAGTGGGGGGACGACGAAAACCTAGGAACTATGGGCAAATATTGGGATTCCTGGGATTCGTGTCTATCGATTTGTGTGTCCCTAGGCCCGTTCATCTATGAGTGTCGAGGGAAGCGCCTGGCGATTAGACGCGGTCCGATGCTCGCTTGGCGCTGTTGTGCATGTTGTTGCGGACGATGCGGAGTGGTTGATCCGACGCGCAGTCCGATCCTCGTTCCGATCTCCCGCTCTGGTGCTGGCTGGTGTTGCCCGCCTTCATCGCGACGTAGGCCCAGGGATCTCGACTTTCATCCTCAGCAGTTTGTTGACCGTCCCGGCGCTGGCAAACGACCCCCATGCAGAGGCTGCCCAATCCGAGACACCAGGCCGCTCAGACAGGGAAGTGAACCTGGGGGGACACTCCTGGGGGACTGCTCGGACGCATGCCTATCAAGGATGGACGCCTCCCCGTAGTATCCATCTGCCTGCTGGAAGAGCCACCGTGCCTGTGCCACAGCGCAGCAGACGGAGACAGAGTGCAGAAACAGCGCTATTCCGACCACTGGAATTGACTTGGAACAGGACGTGACCTCGACCTCATCTTCGCCCGCGCGGTAGGAAGGAGGAGGAGGAGGAGGAGGAGGAGGAGGAGGAGGAGGAGGTGGAAGACAAGTGTAAACCCAAAGCCCATCAACGATGTTGCCTTTACACTTCCATCCAAGTTCCCTCTTCACATGTTCCTACAACGATTCATTGTCCCTGAGAAGTGCCCCGTTGGGAAGGCAACCGTCCGAGAATCCTGAACCGTGCCAGAATTCCATTCTTGGGACTTCAACGCCGCGAATCATTTTTTCAATTGCGCCCTGGCGATCCTGAATCGTGTGCTCTGACAGGTTTACACCGTGCCAGAACACCATGTCTTGGACGGCAACCATGCTCATCCTTGAAACTGTTTTAAACTGTTCAGGCGAATGCGCGCTTCGCGTTCCGCTAAGGCGAGAACCATAGTTTGAAATGGTACCGGCACATATTGTTTTTTTGTCACAGATCCGCGCGGCGTTAAGGCGAGAACCACGTTTTGAAAATGGCCGCCCTTCACCTGTGAAATTGTTGCACATTCCCAGTTCACGGATCGTACATGGTGAGGACGTCTCAGGCGAAACGCCTGTCCCGCTTTGCCGACACGTTTCGGGGGGCGACAGGGAGGAGTTATTGAAAGCAAAAGGGATTGAGGAGAGGGAGAACATGAGGACAAGGAGGAGAAGGCCTCGTAGATGCTGTCTTGGAGCCTCCTCGGGGCCTCCTGAGGGCCTCTTGGGGACCTCTCAGGGCCTTTCGGGGGCCTCGTTTGGCTGCCTTGGGGGGCTCCTGGCCAGTTTGACGCCTTCGGAGTTTGCCTTGGGGGCCTCTCTGGCTCGCATTCGCGCCCTGGTGGGGGCATGCGAGCACAACCACTGGGACCTTAAGGTGGAGTTCTCGAGGAGCTACGAAACGTGTGAGGGGTGCGCCGACGTGGGGTGGTGGCTGCATGCGGGCGCAACCACTGGGGCCTCAGGTGGAGCTCCCTATGGGGCCACGAAGCGTGTTAAGGGTGCGCCACAGTGGGGGCACGGCACGGGCCTCTGGCGGCCGAGTTCGGCGCCATGCTGGCACGTCCGCAGCGCCCCATCGGTGCGGCGCAGCCGTTGGGAAGTGCCCGAGGAGAGAAGGCCTCCAGGGGCTCCCTGTGCCTCTTGGGCTTTCGGTGGGGCTCCCTGTGGGTCCACGAAGCGCTGTACTGGGAGGCCACTGGGGACTTGAGTGGAGCTCCCCATGGGGCCGCGAAGCGCTGTACCCGGTGGGGGGACGCATGCAAATTGTGCTATTGGGGCCTCCGTTGGAGCTCATTATTACGGGGCAGCAAAGCGTTGTATTGGGCGAGGGAGACGCATGTGAACTTTGCCACTGGGGCCTTCGGTGGAGCTCCCTATGAGGTCACGAAGCGTGAGGGGTGTACCGAACTGGTAGGCTGATGCGGAAAGCAGAAGTAAGGATGGGGAGAAGGGAGAGGGGGAGGAGGGGAGGAGGAGGTGCGGGGACCGTTTGTTCAAAACGAGGACCAACACCGCAGGATGGTTGGGGAAAAAAGGATCGTCGAAGATCTGGGTCGATTTCGACCGCTACCGCTACCCTCCAGACCTGTCCGTTCTGGCTGGGATGTTGAAGCGACTCCAGCCGTGGCCTCCCAGAAGCCCCAAAAAGGCCCCAACGAAGCCAGGGTAGCGGTATTGGTAGCTTTTCCTCCTCGGAACTTCGATCTTCTCGTCCGACCCGGCCTTCGGCGCCGAGCTCGTGGCGCGGCTGTGGCCCGCGCGCCCCGGCGCGCCCCTGCCGCCGCTGCGGAAGCTCCTGGAGCACGCCGTGCTGCCGGCCGCCGCGCTGGCGGCCGGCACGCTGCTGGAGGCCGCGCCAGCAGTGGCCACGCGCCCGGAGTCCTGACCTAGGTGGGCCCTGGTCGGGGGTGGACAGACCTCCTACCCTGACACGTCGATGAGTGAATCTGCCGTTTTCGGTTCGCGAGAGGGCGTCGCGGCCGTCATTTTTGCGGGTCCAGGTCCGTCGGTTTCGGTCCCAGGTCGTTTTCTCTAAAGGGAGGTTTACTAAAGGGAGGTTTGTCCACCGCCGACCTGGAAACGGCTCTGCAGGTTTTTCACCTGTTCCGTTTTGCCGATGTTTCGGGGCGCACGGGGCGGGGGTCCATACAAACGGGGGTCGGCCAGGGCGCCAGGTCTTGCAGGATCCTGCAGAGCCAGGGGTTTCTCACCCTCGTCGTTTTACAGAGACAAGTCTTGATACATCGGCCTTACCGTTTCCAGGGCCCAGTAAGGTCTTGACCTTCCCATGGGGTCACCACACTTTGTTGTAACGCCACTTTGTGGCTTGGCCGAAGCGTTCCTAGAACATGTCTGGCTGAGGCAAGCTTGTTTTCAGTCATCGGCCTAGGCTTATGCTTCACCGCCCACCAAAGCACTCCAACCCAACCCGAAGCTCCCGCTTTGCCCTCCATTTCCAGTGTGGGGGGGTCGGGGAACACTGAAAGAACACTTATGAAACCCGTGGCCCCGCCACGCGAAATTCGGGTCTTCGGGTAGGGTTGGCGTGGTCTGGTAGGTAGTCTTTGCACTAAGAGCGCCTCTCTTCGTTCGTGCAACATGTCGGCCACAGGCAGTGGGGGGTAGGGGGAGGGGAGAGGGCTTCTTAGAAGCACCCCTGCTCAGAAGGCGCGGTCCTTGCCTATAGATGTAAGGCCGGACCCTTCTAAGAAGCAGCCTGCTTCTTAGAATTATGATGTCCCAACCTACATTATCCTTGAACACTAGACAGAATTCCGACCAAAACTCTAGAGTTTTCCTGTGTTGGGCCATGGGAGACACTCGTCCGACACTGCTCCGACACTCTGTCGACCTTCTTCCGACGCTGCTCCCGATGCTCGAACTTACTTCCGGGATGTGGTCTTTCACAAGTACGATGGGAACCGCATGATGTCAGAAGCCTTCCCCCCTCCCCCCCATTACCCCCCCCTTGTTCGGGGTTGGACACACCTCCTACCCTGACTTGTCGATTAGTGAATTGCCTGTTTTCGGTTCTCGAGAGGGCGCCGCGGCCGTCAGTTTCCAGGCTTGCGCCCGCCAGGTTTGGGCCCGAGGTCGTTTTCACGAAACCACGGTTTGCTAAAGGGAGGTCTGTCCATCCCCGACTTGTGCGCGCCGCCGATCATCTGGTTGTTGCGCCTCTCGTGGTGGGGCCTCGGGGCGTGCTCGTCGGCCCCTGCTCGCGGAGGCCGCCACGGAGCTCGGGCGGGGCAGCAGCGGCGGCGCGCCGAGGGGGGCGCAGGGGCCAGGTGGCCCCAAGGCGGGCACGTCCCTCTCCAGGAGGAAGATTCAAAAATAATTAACAAACAGTCGGGGGACGTTGTTCTGACTAGTTCTGGCCAGTTTGGGGCATTGTTTGACTGTCTTAGATCTTTCGTCCAAAATCTCCATGTAGGAGGACACGCCCGGCTTACCAGTACCCCCCCGCGTCGTGATATAATCACGACTCGGAGGAAGAACAGGGGCGCCCTCGAGGGCGCCAAGTTCTTCGCGCTGCGCGCTTCGCGGTTCGGCTCCGATTCCTCATCCTCATCTTCTCCCCTGGGAGGCGGCGCGATGGCGCGAAGTGATTCGCACTTCGCGCTTCGCGCAGCGCGAAGCGCGCAGAGTGGGGCGCAGGGGCCAATACCCTGAAGTCGGGCACGTCCCTCTACAGCAGGAGTATTTAAGAGCAGTCAAATCATAGTCGGGGGTTGTTGTTCGTTGACAAGTTATGGCCATCTTGGGGTATTGTTTGACTATGTTTAATTTGCCGTCCAAAATCCCCATATAGGAGGACACGCCCGACTTACCAATACCCCCGCGTCGTGACGAAATATCACGACTCAGGGGAATAACTCACACACACATATATATATATATATATCAGGTGCAACAGTGGTCGTTTTTTTATTCGTTGTTTTGCCGATCGACGCGGGCCCTTGCACCCCCCCTCCCCTCCCCCATGGAGTAGACCTTGGCTGGCGCCTGTTTCGAGCAGGTGGAGTCCCTCCCCCAGTGGACGCACTGTCGCAAACGGTCGCGCTAAGCAGAGGTCCAGAGCCAGACCCCCCTCTTCCCCACCCCCTCTGCCGCCCAATGTCGAAAGGCCGAATAAGATTATCCCGGCAAAGCAACCTAACAGCGATGTGTATAAGCAGATCGGGAAGTATTTCTCTTACGTTCAGGTGAGAATCCAGTTGTAGAATTCTGCTGTTCTCGCAGTCGCAGTCGCATTCGCAATGACAGTCGCAGTGGCAACGGCCTTAGGATCCAATGGAATCCTAAGGATTCCTAAGGATTCCTAGGGATTCCTAAGGCATCCTTAGGCATCCTTGGGAATCCGTAGGAATCCTGATTCCCAGGGATTCCTATGGATTCCGAAGGATTCCTGAGGAATCCTAAGGATTCCTGAGGATGCTTAACTATGCCTACAGATTCCTAAGGATGCCTACGGATTCATAAGGGTTCCTAGGGATTCCTAAGGATTCCTACGGATTCCTACGGATGCCTCAGCCTGCCTCAGTTTCAGCCTCAGCCTCAGCCTGCCTCGGCTTGCCTCAGCCTCAGCCTCAGCCTGCCTCAGCCTCACAGCCTGCCTCAGCCTCAGCCTGCCAGCCTTCAGCCTCAGCCTCAGCCTCAGCCTGCCTCCAGTCTGCCTCAGCTTCCCCTCAGCCCTCAGCCTGCCTCGGCCTCATGCCTCAGCCTCAGCCTCAGTCTCTCTGAGCCTGCCTCGGCCTCAGCCTCAGCCTCAGCCTTCCTCAGCCTCAGCCTCAGCCTCAGCCTCAGCCTGCTTCAGCCTCAGCCTCAGTCTGCCTTCAGCCTCGGCCTCAGCCTCAGCCTGCCTCAGCCTCAGCCTGCATCAGCCTCAGCCTCAGCCTCAGCCTGCCTCAGCATCAGCCTGCCTCAGCCTCAGCCTCAGCCTCAGCCTCAGCCTCAGCCTCAGCCTTCAGCCTCAGCCTCAGCCTCAGCCTCAGCCTCAGCCTGCCTCAGCTTCAGCCTCAGCCTGCCTCAGCTCAGCCTGCCTCAGCCTCAGCCTCAGCCTGCCTCAGCCTCAGCCTCAGCAGCCTCAGCCTCAGCCTCACCTCAGCCTCAGCGTCAGCCTCTCAGCCTCAGCCTGCATCAGCCTCAGCCTCAGCTTCAGCCTGCCTCAGCCTCAGTCTCAGCCTGCCTCAGCCTCAGCCTGCCTCAGCCTCAGCCTCAGCCTGCCTCGGCCTCAGCCTGCGTCAGCCTCAGCCTCAGCCTGCCTCGGCCTCAGCTGCCTCAGCCTCAGCCTCAGCCTGCCTCGGCTTGCGTCAGCCTCAGCCTCAGCCTGCCTCGGCCTCAGCCTGCCTCGGCCTCAGCCTGCCTCGGCCTCAGCCTGCCTCAGCTCTGGCATTCAAAATATGGCACAGGACTCGCGTTCTGGGAACACTGGGAATGTTGTTCTGGGAACACTAAGAACACGAAGTGGCCTACAGTTGGCTCCGGGCATTCAAAATGTGGCCTGGGAATGGTGTTCTGGGAACACGAAGAACACGAAGTGGCTTACAGTTGGCTCCGGGCATTCAAAATGTGGCCTGGGATTGGTGTTCTGTTGGCTCCGGGCAGTCAAAATGTGGCCTGGGATAGTGTTCTGGGGAGTCCCCGGTTTTCCCTGGCTTCCCCCGGATCCTGCCCAGACCCCCTTGGGGAGTCACGATGCTCTCTTTTGACCCCACTAGAAACCTATCAGTCTTCGCTTTTAGGTAAAAACGCTCCCCAATAAGGGGGACAGGCATAACCGCTGAAGGTCTTTAGTGTTGGTTCCCCCATCTTTTCTCTCGGCGGTGAATTGGACTGGTCCTAAAAACCTCCTCCTCCTCCCCCCTCCCTCATCCTCCTGCTCTACCTCCTCCTCTTCCACCTCTTCCTCCTTGGGTATGACACGAGGACATAGATAATTAATGACCCCCCTATAGGTAGGAGCCCAGTCCTGCAAAAGGCCGCCGCCGAAGGAGAACAAGTTAACCAGGTGCCCCCTAATGAGGGGGTTCTGGAGATCTTTCAGGCGTAGGGAATGGGTGGGCATATGGTGGGCTGCAACCGCTCATTGACCGCCGATAGGGGCCAACTGCCCCAACTTGCTTGCAGAAAGGTGCGGACTCGCTATCGGGGGCCGTCGCCGATCGATCGGCGATGTATCGCCGATTCCAGGGCGATGCGCCCCCCCCTGTGCCAGTCCCCCCCCGTGTCGATGGCCTTCGATATCTACCGACATCGCTGCCCGTCCTGGAGAGCCCTCGTGGCCACGGCCGGCTCCTCGTCGCAATCCTGCAGTCAGAAGGCGCCCCTCCCCCCTGCAGATCATCTGGGGACGGCCGGAGGGCGCCGTCCCGAAGACAGGATCACACATAAAACGACCACGCTCGAGGCTTGAGGCTCGAGGTACTCGAAAGATTTCGTGGGTTCCCGGAGGCTCTCGAGCCTCGGGACGCCTTCTGGCAGCTGCGCCTCGCCGAGAGCGCTCCGAGGGTGCGGCAGTAAGGCCAGGGCGGCCCCGCTCGCAGAGCGCCCAGCCTTGCTGTCTTCCGGGCCTGAGGAATCACACGCACACAGTTTGGCGAAGAACAGGGTATTCATGTAGCTCGGATGATAACAACAAAAACATGTACTACCCTGGCGGAGGACCCAACCATATGAAGTTGTGGGTGCCGCAATTATGAATATCTTCTTCGGTGAAGCTCCCTATGGGGCCACGAAGCGCTGCGCTGGGCGGGGGGGGAACGCATGCGGGTGGTAACACTGGGGCCGTTGGTGAAGCTCCCCATGAAGCCACGAAGCGCTGCACTGGGTGGGTGAAAATACCACATTATGAGTGTGGGACACACGCAGGCGGTCCCACTGGGG